TTTGGAAGACTATCATATGCCATCGACACTGCGTATACTCCCTTTCGAAAATATTAGGGTCATAAGTAATGACGAATATACTGATAAATGGAGTACATAAAAATACATTTTTGTGTGTCAGTAGCAGCGTACACGGTGGATTAAAGGAAAAATGTTGTTCTGTATTTTTACTGTATGCAATGTGGCATACAGTAAAAATAACACAGGAAATAATTTTGGGAACTCGGTTGGTCTGTTCTACCTCATCCACAATATTCAACTGGTTGTGTACCTTTTTCGGTTACTGTAAAACGTTTTGAAGGAGTGAAATTTATTTAATGAAAACCAGTTTCCAGAATTCGTTCAAATTTGTTTACATCAAAACCGACTGAATTTTATTCAAAGATTATCGAAATGCTGTCTGATATTTGGCAACAAGACATCGCAAATAATGGCGAATGTACAGGGTATCCAGTGAAAAAAGCGATAAATTCAGAAAGATGTGAGACAATCGTTGAAAACTGGTGGTGATTGATGTGACAGGAAGAATTTCTGCACATTTCGTCAATCCCTACGTAGGATGTTCTTTGAAAAGTATAACTTGACGCTCAAAATCAGTGAGTTGTTTAGCCATACGAGAAGGCCAGAACGAAAGTTGTCTGCAAGTAACCCTTAAATGACGAGTCAGAAGATCGAGCAGCAATTAATCAATCATAAAAGAACCAATCAGAGTTAAGTAATTACGCGAGAGTCAAATGATTATTCAAGGTCATGAATATTCAAGACATTTATTTAAGGTTATTCAATATCAATTGTTCCTGAAAGATAAAACAATGATAATAAATTTACCACTTTGTTTTTTACTGGGCACCTTGAATGATTGAATGAAATGTAATTATATTTTTTAGGGGTGGGGGCGGAATAAAATTGATAAGCAAGAACGGAAATAAATTATGACGCAAACTAATATATAGAAAAACCGATTGAACCTTTGATTGATTTGAACTTACGAGGCAATTTGTTTCTCCATTGAATTGGCCTACAGGAGAAAGGTTCGGTAATAACAGGGGCGCATGGTGGAGTAATGGATCGAGGCTCGAAGAGCCGAGTTCGAATTCCAGGCAAATCCATTACATTCACTTACGTGTTAATACCCTTCGGACAGGTATGAATACACTTCCCCCCCCCCAGCTATAGGACATACCGGGTTCTATAGCCTTGGATGGCAACTGGTCTACCGCAGAAAGAAATGGCAGCCTACTGCGGGGAAAAAACCTGCCTCGTCAGTCATGTATTGAAAGATACATGATCGCTTAAGCGTGTGTCACGCATGGCATATAACTAAATCACATGCAGTTACTGTGTGGTCGTAAGTTCAATTCCTGGATTATAAGTCATATATCCTGTTTCGAGGGCGAATATTGATATGCGTCCTTCTTCAGGCGTAGATAGGGCTAAAAACAACTGTGGAGTGCCAGACAATTTTTTCTCGTCAGAATCTGACTTGCACATTTATAGATCTACCATTCGTCCTTGAATTGAATATTACAGCAATATCCAATCTGGTCCTCCTACGATATACTTCAAGTCAAAGGTCAATTATTATCTACACCTTGTGCAAATTAATTGAAACAAAACAAATAATTCCCTTATTATTTACTATTTCTTTCGTATTTTTCCAATGAAAAACGACCCAGTGCACAGGTTAGTACTTCGTAAGTCTATTCCACTGAGTCAATACATGCAGATTGATCACAGAATCTCGATTAGATTTAAATCAGGAGAATTTCCTGGCCAATCTATAGTACTTTGATTATATCACTGGTAAGGCTTGCCAGTGTGTTCGTGAAGCGTTACAATTTTCGTACGCTTCCTTAAAATAACGTACATCGCAGACAATAGTCGTAGGGCAACTAATCGACAGTCGAGACAGTAGTGTCCGAGCGTGATAAAAATCTTATGCAATCAAGGATGACGCAATATTTTTCAAGGCCAAAAAATTTCATCATACACCCCGAAAATAGATTCATATTACTGTACACCACAGCAAATGACCTAATCTGAGGAAAAATAGAAATCGATTACACCCTGTCATTCCAGTGGGTCTAAAACTGACTGTACGGTGAAAGAAAGGAAACTAAAGCGGCTGTTTCAGTTAATTTGCACAAGGGTATATGGTCCTCATGATCTTCACTTCCTTCTAACCCATCTTTCACCCGGATCACACCCTTTCGTTTTCCCCTGATATGAAATGAAGTGATTATATCGAATCCATTGTTTCAGCAACGGCAAAGAAATTTAGTTCATTGCGTCAAGCTAGAAATTTTTCTTGTCAGAATCCATTTTGTACATTTATAAATTTACCATTCGTCCGTGCATCGAATAATGTTGCCATATGTGGTCTTGTACTCCTACTATGTATCGCGGCATTCTTGACAAAATTCAAAGAATGGGTCTATATAATGTAATCGAACCTGACCTGACATCTTGAATTCAGTCACTTTCTCACCGACGTAACTTGGCTTCCCTCTGTCTTTCATACTAATATTTTTATGGCAACTTTTCTGATGAGCTATTTTCCTTAGTGCATCGACGGCATGAACTTAAACGTGCTACTAGATTGGCAACTAGGTCTCACATTTTTACTGTTGAACTAGCTAGATCCAACCTATTCGAAAACAATTATTCCAAAAAACATTTTTTCGAATTGTAAATTGTTTGAATGAAAATTAATCAAAAGGGCAATTATACTAAATGAAAATTTTTGGAAATGCAAATTTCTTTAATGAAATAAAAATATAAAAATTAAAAGAGGAAATATACAAATGATAATTATTCGACAAACAAATATCATTAATAAAACAATTTAGTAAGAAAATATTCTTATAACCTTTAGATCAACTACAATAACATTAGTCATCTACTAAAAAGTACTCGTTAAAGGATGCCAGTAAGTTTTCCATTTACGTCGCGGTATTTCTTTTGATATTTTGGCAACCTGCTATTAATTTTGAAATATGAATTTCTTGCAAATCCTATTGTCTTTTAAGAGCGTCTAAAAATTTCCATATTATAGGATGATACGATGGCACTTGCTGCAAAAAAAAAGAAGCCCTATGCCATCCTTCAAGGACGTTATTAGTTCTCGGTAACTCATCATTGACATTCTCAAAGGAAGACTACATATGTATTTGAAACATAGGTATTTTGAATAATTATCATTTAGTATAATTGTCCTTTCTATTAATTTTCATTCAAACAATTTACAATTCGAATAAATGTTTTTCTAATAATTATTTTGGAACAATTTTCTCGATATGAAATCAAACAAGTACAGAATTTTAAATATTTTTGGAGTGGTCTAACAGAGGACGGAGAGTGGGACACTGAGATCCGAAGACATATTGGGATGCCTTCCAAAAGCTAAGCAGAGTATTAAGAGACAGAAAAACTTCATCGGAAACAAAGAAAACAGTACTGAACTGCATCATCTACGACAGCCAATGCCCGACAATTTTCTTAAAGGTGAAGAAGAGACTTAAAGCAACAGAAACAAAGAAAACCGTACTGAACTGTCTCATTTATGACAGCGAATGCTGGACAATCTCCTCACTGATGAAGAAAAGACTTAAGGCAACAGAAATGTGGTTCTACAGAAGGATCCTGAGAATACCATGGACCGAAGTTTTAAAAGTTTTTGAAAAATTAAAACAAAAAGGAAACTTATACTTAACAGAGAGAGTTGAAATTTCTCGGGCACATAATGAAGAAAGAGGGCTTGGAAAATCTGACACTCACAGGACAGAGTGAAGGCAACAGAGACAGAGGAAAATAAAGCACAACCTATTTAGTGAATAAATAGATAGCGGAACAAGGTTTAGAAGAAATAACAAAAATACAAAATTTATGGGTAATACATTTTATGAGCAACTTTAGAAACGAAGAAAATATAACTGAACTGTTATACAATATCAGTATTTCTATATGGCAGTGAATGTTGGACAATCTCTTCACGGATCAAGAAGATGCTTGAATCAACAGAAATGTGGCTCTACAGAAGGATCCTGAGAATACCAAAGACTGAACATGTGAGTGACGACAAAGTTTTAGATAAAATAGAATCAAAATGATAATTATATATCACATCAGAAAGAGAGGGCTTAAATTTCTAGGGCACATAATGAGGAAAGAGGGTTTGGAAAATTTGATACTCACGGGACGTACTGAAGTCGAGAGGGATAGAAGAAAGCAGAAACGTATCTAATGACTGTGTAAATGATTGGTAGAATAGGGATTAACAGAGATTAGGAGAGATTAGGAGCAATGACGAGATTTTAGAGAAAATGGAAACGAAAAGTAAACTCATAGTTAACATCAAGAAGAGGCAGTTGACATTTCTGGGTCATGTAACGAGGAAGGACGGATGGGAAAATCTGATACTCACAGGGCAGATATGAGGGAAAGAGGGGTATAATATAACAGCGCTTAACATACTTGAGCTTGAGGAAATGGATGGTAGAACAGGGTTTGGGAGAAATAACAAAAAGACAAAAAACGTATTAAGAGTTACAAAGGACAGGAATTTGTGGAGGGCCATGATCGCCGACGTCCTGAAGGAACACGACTCATAAAAGAAATAAGATTCAAACTCGCATTTCATGGCCAGAAGTATAACTATTCAGATACGCGAGCATTGCCAAGTAAATGTCAACCAAGCAAAATTCATGTTTACTTACGACTGATATATAAATGTGTAGATGTGTAGTGGTGGAGTACTTTATCACACAGACCACGGTTTATGCAGTAAGATGAATTTCCGCTCGGGGGCTCGCTCTGAAAAATCCCCTGCCTTAGAGCGATGGCGAAAAGGTTAGCTTCACAGAACGTTGATTGGGTAACGATTCCCAATCCAGCGAGATATCCTACGATTGTGGCTCTCCGCCAATTAAATCTAACTACGCTGATTATCTCTCTCAGTCTATTCGCATCTATATAATCACATTCTATGTCTTTCACCCATCATGCTCATTTCTATCTATCTATCTATGACTGTTCATATCTATCTATCTGAGTCTTTTCTTTTCTATCTCCCTATCAATCTAAGCCTTTTCTATCTATGTCTTTTTTTTTCTTTTCTTTATTTATGTCTTTTCTATCTATTTTCTTTCTGTCTCTTCTTTATCTATCCTTTTTTCTTCCTATCTATCTATCTATCTATCTATCTATCTATCTATGTCTTTTCTAACTATATTTTTCTACCTACCAATCTATCTATGACTTTTCTGTTTTTTTACCTATCTATCTATCTATCTATCTATCTATGTCTTTTTACCTATCTATGTATGTCTTTTCTGTTTATTTTACCTATCTATTTTCTCTGTCTATGTTTTTCTACCTACCTAAGTCTTTTTTGTTTTTTTCACCTATCTTTCTATCTATTTATGTCTTTACTATGTTTTTTACTTATCTATCTATGTCTTTTTTATGTTTTGTTTTACCTATGTTTTGTACCTACCTATCTATGTCTTTTACCTATCTATCTATGTTTTCTACCTACCTACCTATCTATCTATCCTTTTTCTACCTATCTATCTATGTTTTCTATCTATCTACCCTTTTTCTACCTACCTATCTATCTGTATTCTTTTATACGTGAGTGTATATATATGTCGAATATATGTTGACATCTCTTGGACAATCATTTTATGTGTTAAAAGGTGAGAACATCTGTATATTTGTATTACACACACACACACATCAATATTTTACAAAGACTTTTTTCTTAAAGGTTGCAATGATTTGAGCTCAAGTTCCAGGCATCCATTCCCAAAATTAAAATCATCATTCGTCCAAATATCAGTAGTAGAGCCGAACACCCTGGATAAGTTAAACGATTTCGATTCTTGTTTTTTGTGTCCAAATTCTTGTTTTTTTCTCGATGTGTTTTTCCCCCAATTTGCTGAAATATTTTAGTTCTTCTCCGCCTGTCTACAAATGGCTTCTGCACGCAATACCTTGTTTCCAAACGAACAGGATTTTGTCAGTTCTGCACAATGCTGTCTAAAGAAGTAAACGGCTTGTCTTCTGAAAAATGAAAGAAAATAAAAAGAAAAAAAAGGAGCGTCGAAAGAAATAACAAAAAAGCAAAAAAAAAAAAAAAAATGAAATGACAGATTAAAAGGAATGTCATGGAAAGGGAAAAAGAAAGAAAAGCCCCAGAAAAGAAAGAAAAAGAAAAAAAATATCGAAAGGTTAGAAAATGATAAAACAAGAAAGAACCAATGAAAAGGAGATAAGAAAAGGAAGAAAGAAGAAATATAGAATAAAAAGAAAGAAAAAGAACAAAAGAAAAGGGGATAACGAAAGAAAAAAGAATGTAAGAGGAAAGAACGAAAAAGGAAGAAAAAAGGAAACTTATAAAAATGATCCAGAAAGAAAAAGCGATAAAGAAAGAAAAGAGAATAGAAATTGAGAGGAAAGACGGCAAAATGGCAAAGAAAATTCCAAATGAAGTGGAGGCAAAAAGAAAGATTAAAAGGAAAAGGTAAGAGGAGAGGTTTGAAAATGAAAGGTAAAGAAAGAAGGAAAAAAAGAGGGAAAAAGAAAGACAGGTACAGTTTAAAGGAAATCAATATAATGACAAAGAAAGAAAAAGAACTCGAGTAGAAGTGATAAAGAAAGAAAAAAGATAAAATAATCTTATGTATATTCATGACTTTACTCTAACTTCATCTTTCCCTTCTTTTTCTTTTTCTGTTCAAAAAGAAAAAAAGATAAAAAGAAAGATGAAGTTAGAGGAAAGTCATGAAGATGAAAAAAGTAAAAAAGAAAAAGAGGAAAAAGAAATGGGGAAAGAAAAAAAAAGTTCAGGAAATGATATAGAAAAAAATAAATAAAAAGAGAAAAAGAAAGAAAAGAGAGAAAAAAATAAAGTAAAAAGGAATCATGAAACTAATAAAAAGAGAAAGAATAACTAAAGCGAAGAAAATTATAAATCAATAAAGAAGAGAATTAAAAAAAAAGAAGGAATTTTCGATTGTTTCCAGACGGTTGAAAGGAGGAGGAACCGTAAAAGAAATAGAGAAAGCAAAAAGAAAGAAAGACAAAAAGACCATAAAGGGGATGAAAAAAAAAAAGGAAAGCATGGTCAAAGGAAAAAGAAAAAGAAAATAGAGAAAAAGAATAAAGGGTTAAAAAAAAGAATAAAAGAGACATATAAGAAGAAAACGACAAAAGAAATAGGAAAAAAAGAGGAAATGCAAAGGGAGAAAAACAGGCGAAGAAAAAGAAAGGTCAAAGGAAAGAAAACGAAACAAAAAAAAAGAGAGAAAGGTGAAAGAAATGTCAAAGAATAAAAGAAGGAAAAAAGAAACAAATAAAAATGGTTAAAGAAAACAGAGAAAAAGAAAAAAGTTCAAAAGGAAAATCAGAAAAAGAAACAATAGGGAAACAACAAAAGATACAAGAAATAATGAATTGGAATCAAAACGGGATTAAAATCCGACAGAAAGATAGAATAAGGAATAAATATATAACGTTAATAAATTTAACATGTTTCGATTTTATTTCTGCTTCATCAGAAATTTCCAAAAATTTCTGTTGAAGCTTAAATGAAAATGAAACATGCTGCTTATTTAAAGCCAGACAATAATTTTAGATTTTTTTTTGTTTGAGATAATGATTTAATGGCACAAATCCTAATAATTAATCCATAGCTGGGCGAAAAAGAGGTGGATTTGTACCTTTCTTAAGGGTATTTGCGCGAACTCGACTGGAATTGGAACTCGGCTCTCCAATGAACAGTTCCATTACACCACCCGCACATCCAAGCTTAGAGCACATGTTATTACCAAGCGGTCACCCCTCTAGATACTCACCAGGCTTGACTTTGCTTAACTTAGGTGATCGTACAGTAACAGGTATTTCAATGTGATATAATCGTAAATCGTGGAGAGAATTGGCTGAGAGAAAGAGTTGAGAGGTTGATAGAGAGAGGTTAAAATTGGTTGATAGAAAGAGTTGAGAGGTTGATAGGGAGTGGTTGATAGAGAGTGGTTAAAATTGTTTGATAGAGAGGGTGCTTAAAAATTGAAAGACATTTGGGAATGAGTAGTACAAAAATTGTGAAAAAGAAAAATAACTCATGGAAAGAAGAGTAGAATGAACAGAGAGTAAAAAAAGTAGTTGGAAGAAAGGGAGAGAGGGAGGCAGTAAATAAGAAAGGGAGGGAGAAAGTAAGAGAGAGAGTAAATAAGAGAAGGAGAGAGAGCAAGAGGAAGGGAGAAAGAGAGGTAGGTAAAGAGTAAGAAAGAGGGAGAGAAAGTGTGTGTGAGAGTAAGAGACGGAGAGAAGTCGTAAACAAAAGTTGAAATCTTTTTTATGTGTTAAAAGCGTTAAGAAAGGAAAAAAAAGAAGAAAGGTAAATTGAAATAAAAAGAAGAAAACGAAGGAAAGAACGAAAGAAGAATGAGGAAGAAAGAAAATAAAAGACTGAAAAGAGAAAAAGGAAAGAAAACAGAAAAAATAAAGAAAATTAAAGTAGAAAATAACGAAGAAAAGAACAAGAAAAATTTAGAAAGAAGGATGTAAAGAAAATTAAAAAAAAAATAAACATATATAGAGGAAAGCAAAAAAAAAAAAAAAAAAAAAAAGAAAGAAAGAAGGAAAGAAAGAAAATAAAACAAAAATTCCAGAAGATTTAAAATAAAAATAATAAAAAAATCAAAGAAAAAAAAGGAAACCAAAGAAAAGAAAAAAATACGAAAGATAGAAGGAAAATTTCTATAAAAGTGGAATGAAGAGAAAAGAGTTAAAAATAAGATGGAACGGAGCAACAAATTTAAAGGCGGAAAAAATGATAATACGAAAGAAAAAGAAAACAAAAAAAAAGAAAAGAAAGGAAAGGAAAAGGAGTAAAAAAAGAAAGAATTGGAAATGAGAACGGTAGCTAATAAAAAGAAGAAAAAGAAATAATTGAAAGCAGATGATAATAGAAACGAAATAGAAAGCGAAAGAAAGAAAGCATAAGAAAACAAAAACGAAAGAAGAATATGCTGATTGCTTGTTGTATGGATGTTACGTGCCGATTTCCATCTTAACTTCATAACCGGCGGCCATTTTAACTAATCCATCTCTGCTGCATTTACCGACGCAACAGGAGCCACCCTACCAGGTTTTGTGTGAAAACAAAAGCAAGCAACTCCCGGTCGGTCTTTGACGTGAGTAGCAGATGCCGTGGAGTTCTTGAAAATATTCACTGGCTTCCCCAACGCGAGCAGCAAACGAAAAGCGATTCCTCAGACGGACGACATGTTGTTCTTTGACATTCTATTGCACAGCGGAGAACCTTCCCTATTCACCGGAAACTCGCTGGGTCGATTTTGTCTGACAGACAGACGAGTCCCACCGGAATTTTCGGTTTATTTTTTTATTTTATTTATTCTTTTACGCATTTTTATTTTTTTTATTAGATTTTTTTGTTAACTATTTAAAAAAAAATATGGATATTTTTTCATTTGCTTTTATTTATTCTTTTTTTTTTCCTCTTCTCTTTCAATCACTTATTTTTCGTTTACTTTCTTTTGTGATTAATTTTTATCTTTTCCACTTATCACTTTCTTTTTTATTACGTTACTTTCTTTTTTGTGTTCCCCTTATTTCATTTTAATTATTATTTTTCTTTCTTTGTACGTTACTTTCTTCTTTTCTTTATTTCGTTTTTTCCTTCTTTCTTTCTTTCTTTCTTTCTCATTGTAACTTTCTTTTTTAATTGGGACTTTCTTGCTTTCGTTTTTTGCTTTTTATTAACTTCTTTCATTCTTTCTTTCTTCTTACTTATCATCTTTCTTGCGTTTTATTTTTTCCCTTTCTTTCTTTTTTCTTTCTTACTGTAACTTTCTTTTTTAATTATGATTTTCTTTTGTTTTAATTAACTTCGTTTTTTTTCTTTCTTTTTACTTATCATCTTTCTTTCTTTCTTTCTTTCTTTCTTTCTTTCTCAGTTTTACGCTTTCTGTTTTCTGACCTTTTGTATCCACGTCTTCTTCTTTTTCCCTTTCTCACAATTTTCTTCGCTTCATCTACCTTGTTTCTTATATCTTTCTCTTTTCTCTCCTTTTAATTCTTTGCATTTTAAACCTCTGTTCTTTTAACAAGAAGACGAACTGTACGCAGACAAATGTTACTACGTATACGCCACGTTGCTTTATACAAGCCAAGATGGAGTAAATTGGAGAGAAATTCACAAGCTCTACAATTAGAAACAATGTTTGACCATTTTGAACTTCATGTTAGAAGACCTCACTCACTCACTCATTCACACATTTAATTCAATTCAAAATTTTAAGTTAAGATGGAATTATTGTGTTGACCAACCATTTTGAACCATGTTAGAAGTTTGGTTTGGTTTGTTTTACGGCATATCAACCTCAATGGGTTATTTAATGCCTATAAGATATTTATTACTGGTAATATTTTTTTTTCAAAAATGTATAGCTGGTATTTTTTTTTCAAAAATGTGTTGCTGGTAATAATGTATTGTTGATAATTATTTTTTACAAAGTATTTCTGATATTAAAACCTATTTTTACACTTACATAGTGTTTTGACCTCAGTTTGCGGGTTGACTATTTACCCATAGCTGGGACCCTAACCGGTGCTACCATCCCGGGTCAGGGTGAACCTGGGAACACCAGCAATTAAGAGGTGGTTCCACGCTCCTCAAAACCTCCTGATCAGAGGCCTTGCTGCTGGACGTAGTTTATCGTCTTACCCAGGACTCACTCACTCACTCACTCAGTCAATTCAATTCAATTTAGAATTTAAAGTTAAGATGGAATTATTGTGTTCACCAACAGAAGCATTTGTAATAATTCAAGACTGATTATAATGCTAGAAAAATGATTCCTTTGGACTGATGCTGAGTTATTCTGTTTAACCCTTTACTGCTTACAGTCATCCAAATGGTACGGTGAACGTTAAATATGTCAGTCAGTTAAGTGCCATATGTGATACACGCTTGGACGATTATGACTGATTAGGCAGATTTTCCGTAAGCTCAAAATGCAAATAACAAATTGAGGATACTAAAATCAAACAATACAAAAATTTAACTATCTGGAAAGTGTTTTAACAGAGGACGGAAAGTGCGATACTGAGATCTAAAGACGTATTGGGATTGCCAAAGATGTATTTCAAAATCTAAGCAGAGTATCAAGAGACAGAAAAAAAAACTTCGTTAAAAACAAAGAAAAGACTACTGAACTTTTACGTGATGTCTGTCCCCCTATATGGAAATGAATGCTGAACAATCTCCTCAAAGATGAAGGAAAGATCTGAAGGAGCAGAAACGTGGTTATACAGAAAGATGCTGAGGATACCATGGACCGAACCTGTGAGCAACGACGAAGTTTTAGAGAAAATGGGAGCAAACAGGGAACGTATACTTAAGGCCAGGAAAAGGCAGTTGAAATTTCTGGTGAACGTAATGAGGAAAGAGGGCTTGGAGAATATGATACTCACAAGGAGGACAGAGGAAAAGATAGAAAGAGGAAAGCAGCACATAGCATACTTGAAGGGTTTGAATAAATGAATGATAGAACAGGGTTTGGGAGAAATAGAAAAAAAAGCCAAGACTTATTGAGAGCTACAAGGGACAGGAAGATGTGGGGGATCATAATCGCCTACGTACTGAAAAGCCACGATACATAAAGAAGAAGATATTTGCCGTTACTTTCTGTTCTATACTGGTTGCCAACTAAGATTATACGATCCAGTCTGTCCTACTCTTCAACCCATAGCGGGGGGAACAGGGGATTTATTCATATAACTCTGATGGATATTTGCGCGTAAGTAAATGTAACAACCCCGACTAGAATTCGAACTCTGCTCTCTGATTTCTCATTCCGAGCCTATATCCATCACACCGCAACGTAGGCAGAAATGTATAGCTCATTTTTTTTTTCAATCTGGGATCCGCAGAGTTCTAGGGATCCGTTAGTGAAATCCAGGGCTCTGCAGGCCTTTCTATCATTTGTTTGAAGCCATAATGAGGATTGTACTCACCAAATAACAAACGTTATTTCTGAACACAAAATAAAAAAAAAAACAACACAAAACACGACGTGCCAAAAAAGAAAGATTAATAGATTTCTAATTTTTGATGCTTTTCTTTGAGAAAATGATTAGCAGACTTCTTATTGCAACTTCCTTTTTTAATTATTACTTTCTTTCTATCGTTTATATTTAACTACTTTCTTTCTTATTTACTTTCTTTCTTTCTTTCTTATTTACTGTCTTTATTCTTACAGTAACTTTCATTTTTAATTACAACTTTCTTTCATTTTCTTTCTTTCTTTTTTCTTTCATTCATTCATTCTTTCATTCTTTCTTTCTTTCTTTCTTTCTTTCTTTTATACTTACCGTAACTCTCTATTTAATTAAACTCTCATTCTATCATTTTTACTTATATACCTTTCTTTCTTTCTTTCTTTCTTTCTTCCCTGGACTCTATCCTTGGACCTATGTTCTTTCTAATTGTCATCAACGATCTTCCTGGTGTGATCAATTCTCAACTAGATGACACACCCATTTACTCCTGTCTTGAGTCTGATCGGTTTGATGAGGTCAAATTAGCAGCTGATCTAAAAATGATCTACAATCTGTTGTTAACTGGGGCAAGTAATGGCTTGTTAATTTTAACGTCTTCAAACCGAAACTGCTCTCTTTTAATCGTCTAAGAGAATCTTATTTGCCTTCTGTCATCACGGCTGAATGTAAACTCCATGAGAGTGACTCATTGTGCCTTTTTGGGATAACCTTTTCATTCTCTCTTGTGTTTTCACAATCACAACAATCTTGATCACTTCAATTTTTGAACTTGAGTTAAACGTTATCTTTCCTGCATAGCCCCAAGAACTTCACTTCTTACCTTTTTACGCTCATGCAACACGAGTGTCCATTGTATTGGTTGAACATCAATAAAAATTAAAAAAAATACAGATACAAACTTGCATCTTTCTTGTATGTGTGTGTGTGTGTGTGTGTGTGTGTGTGTGTGTGTGTGTGTGTGTGTGTGTGTGTGTGTGTGTAATAGAAAAAGACAAAGTGATCGAGACAGATACCTGGTTAATTCTTTGGTGGGTAAAGGAATGAGCTAGCCCGTCCCGTTTTCTGGAAAAAGTCCTTTCTTCGTAGGTTTATATTGAGGCCGGTAAAGGATAAGTATCGCGTCGTTGTCATTAGTGTTGATGTTGGTGCAGAAAGTTGTTTTTTTAATCATTTAAAATGGACGAACGCTGAGCGAACGTTGTTTTAGAAGTTTTATCATCTTTTGTTTACGAAAATACAAACATATCCTTCTTGTGACACAGATTTCTAAGTCTCCAAATTTGACGCTTTCTTTACACAGTTTATCCAAATTTTAATTGCCTTTTACTCGGGCGATTCAGTTTTTAAGGGTCCTTTACTCAGGTAGCCCATTTTAAGTGTCTTTTACTCATGTTGTTCAGTTTTAAATTGTCCTTTACTGAAGTGGTCCAATTTTTAAGTTTTCTTTCTGGCTCAAATTAAAAGCATCATTTACTCAAATGATCCAGTTCTTCTTTACTCAGGTGGTCCATTTTCTAAGTCTCCTTTACACAAGTGGTCCAATTTTTACGCTTTCTTTACATATGTAGTCTAATTTTTAAATGTCCTTTTTTCAGGTGGTCCGATTTTTAAGTGTGCTTTAATCAGGTGGTCAACTTTAAGCGTTTTTTCTTAACCCACTGTTAGTACCGCTACTGTTTAAATCCGACAGGATGTTTTCCTTAATATTTTGCAAGTCTTCTTACGGATAACAGTTAGTCCTTTCTTATCGCTTTCTTTTAATCCATTATGCAAGAGCTCTTTCAGTTTTGCTACTGAGTCTGCTGTCAATCAGACTGTCATTTGAATATCTTACGATGACAAATCCTGGTAAGACTTCTAGATCTCTTAAAATCATGGTGCTGCTTAGGTTAAATAATTGGTGCTTACTTGGGCTTAATATTGTTGATACTGTGAAGATGTGTAACGCTTTCAAGACGCAAGTATACACAGAGAAAGAGAAAAACAATGCTAAAGT